TATTCCAATTGTCAAAATTATAAAACTAAGCGGTGTATTTGGGTAATGTAGTTTTCAAGGACAAGCAGTATTGTTTGCTCAGGATGTTTTCGAAGTTACCGAAAAACTTCCGAACATGTTACCAAGAACCACTTATAATGCTGGAGTAGTTGTCATTACTGAATTTGAAAATACTAATGTAACGCGACAGTTTTCAGTACCTAGGTAAAAGATATATGATGCACTACATTGGTTGGTCGCTAACAATCCCCTTTATAAAGACGTCACTATCGATTAAAACGTCATAATTAATGAAGAGGATATTATTAGAGTAGAAGAAGCTCCACTAGAGGATGTGAATGAAATTAATGATGAACTTAACAATGACACTAGTGCTTACACAAGAATATGTGATTTTTCGAGAATTGTGCGTGCTTCATGGCACCAATTTGCAGGTGTACAATGCTGTGCGATGACATTGTCTAACATCCTAATAGCCAGTATTCTTGCTCCACAACAGTGGTTTACAAACACCATTAACCTGAATATGTTATCGGGTGACCAAATCTACAGCAATATAAGATTTCAAGCGGAACGAAATTTAATGGCCTGTCGTATTGAAGAACCTAGTGGTGCGAAATTTCCACGCAATAAAAGATGTTTTAGTCGCATTCGGCAAACGGTTTCAGATCACTTTTGCCGATGAACCAAGCATATATGGAAGCTTAAGCGACAAGAATAATGACACAAACTTCGGACGCTTTTCAAGGGTTGGAAGATCTTTTCATTGAACATAGCGCCGGCATAATAATAGCAGATGGACAATCGTTCGGAGTGATGCACTATGATAACAAATATTACTTCACTTGCGCCTCACGTACTTAATGTACAGCTGCAGCACATCGTGTACTAACTTTATAGCTGGGCTCTAAGCTACCGGGGGGGTCGGCAGGTCGCGGATAGCCGAACGGCCTGTAGTAGCAGGTTAGTTGCGAAATAAGTTTAAACGAATAAGCAATCCCCGACGATAAGCGACAGGAGTGGAGGATGCAGTATAAAAGCTAGCAGGTCCGTTGAAGCGCCTGTGACGGTGGCGAACCGACACCGCCTCCTAGAAATATGTGTCCCCCTCACCACGCATAGGCGTGATGAGTAATAAAAAAAAACCTAGGCGCGACGGACCCATAGTGGGCGGCTCCCTGGTCAGCGTCTGTTCACCAGGATAGGTGCGGCTGTTAAAAGAACCAAAGATGACCGGTACGCAACGTGGCGCACTGGGAGTCCCTCGGAACCTTTACAATGACTTCTCCGTTGCTGTTGTGAAAAGGGTGATGTGAGCTTGCTCTACCGAGGTGTTAGCCACGTTGTTTGCCTGTAACCAGCCCCTTGGGGCTCTGGTCAAGAAGTGTGCATTTGGCGTAGGATTAGTAGCCTGCGTTGCCCCGGGCGAGCGCTGGTCCGTCCGTGTTTTCTGGGACCGATTAAGCGAAGGACAGGCCTCAGGGAACTGGGGCAGGAGCAAAGACACCGAGGGCATACCCGTTCCTGTCTATTTCGGCCCGTCCCCCTACACACGGTGCGCTGGTAAAACAAAACAGAAGACAATGAATAATTTTATGAGAAACTATACAACCAACGCTACAAGCAACAGTGACAACAGTAGCAACATCAGAGTAACAAATAACGAAATTAGCAAGGAGCTAAATATAAGCTCCTCACAGGGAACACCAAGTTCGAATAAAGACCCCTTTAAACGCGCACCGAGGCTAGGTAGATCGCCCACAAACGTGCTGAGTGTCGAAAAGCCGACGAGKGCAAAACCGTCACCACCAGCCCTCCAAGATAGCACACCACAGGCTAAGCAAAATCTCCAATGTGTAGACTACATGAACTAGGGGAAGAGATTAAGAAGCTCAATAATAATATAAGGGACCTCCTTAGTAATATAAGAGTATTGTATGGGAGTATTTTATGGGAAAGTCCAGAGTGAGCACACAAAAATGAAAGAAAGGAGAAACTTTCTGAATATGCCCCCGACCACGCATGTAACCCCAAAAGACCAGTTAAGAAAGAAGATGCTCTCCAGAAGCTGGGTGAAAATGTAACCCGAATTAGAAAGACGACCAAAGGCGAAATGCTGCTAGAAATAAAAGATGCGCAAAAGGAAAATACAAGCGACTTCACAAACGAGATAGGTAAAGTTCTGGGGAATCAGGCAAAAATTAAAGCACTTAATCACGAAACAACGATAGAGATTCGAGACCTAGACGAAATAACCTCTGAAGAAGACATCTGCAGTGCTATATGTGCAGAAATAAAGGAGTTGACAATATTGACAAAGCATCAGTAAAAAGCATCAGAGCGGCATATGCGGGCACGCAAACAACCGTGCTAAGGATCCCTGCTCACCAGGCGAGATTCCTACTTGACGAAAATAAAAATAGGATGGGTTGTCTGCCGGATCAGGGAGAGACCGACCCTTAAGAAGTGCTATAGGTGCTTGGAATACGGACACCAAGCGAAAAGTTGTAGCAACCTAACTGACAGAAGCCAGTGCTGCCTCAAATGTGGAGAAAAGGGGCACTTTGCGAAGAAATGTGATAAAAAACCATCTTGCGACGCGTGTAAAAAAAGTGGTCGAGAGAGCACAGACCACCAAATTGGTAGCAAAAAATGTCATATTTACATTGAAGCGTGCAAAAAAGTGAAAACATGARAGTCTTGCAACTTAACCTCAACCACTACGAAGCAACGCAAGAGTTACTTACGCAAACGGTGATTGAGCAAAAAGTGGACATGGCAATACWAAGCGAGCAGTACAAATTTGGGTACTGAAAATTGGAGCTCCGACCAAACAAAAAAAAGCTGCCGTCTGGGCCTGCGGGTACAAGCCATTCCAAAGCAAGCCATTATTAGGACAAGCCTACTATACACGGGCAAAAATCTGTGGCATAAACTTTTACAGCTGCTACGTCCCACCGAGCGTCCAACAAAACGAATACGAAAAAGTTCTAGACAATCTGGTACGAGACATCGCAAATACAACAATGAATATTGTGGCAGGAGACTTCAATGGGTGGGCAATAGAATGGTCCAGCACCCACACAAATAGGAGGGAAGATGCGCTCCTAAAGGCGTTCTCAACGCTTGACATTGTGCTGTTAAATACTGGCAACAAGAACACCTTCGAAAAGAACGGACGCGGTTCCATAATTGACATAACCTTTGCCAGTAGATCCCTGGTGCGGAAGGTTAACAGGCAGGTAAGCGACCTATACGCGCACAGTGACCACCTGGCCCTCTTGATAGAAATAGACAACCCCACGCCGTTAAAAGAATTCTATCGATCAAGGAAAGCCCAAAACAGAGGATGGAAAGTCGACACCCTTGATGAAGAGAAGCTGATATTAGATAGCAACCTGAACAACGCAGCTATAGAAACGGAACAACAGGCGGAACACTTGATACGACACATCAGCAAGGCATGTGACGCCGCTATGTGCAGGAAAAGACAAGGCACGCACAGAAAACCTGTATACTGGTGGAATGACGAAATTGAAGTCCTACGAAGCGAATGTCACAAAGCAAGGCGTGTGTGCCAAAGAAGGCGACAATCGACGGATTACGCAATGCTACAGGAGTGCTTTAAGAAGAAGCGAAATGACCTCAAAAAAACTATCAAAAAGAGAAAGGCCTTCTGCTTCAAAGAGCTGTGCAATAAACTTGACGAAAATCCATGGGGTGATGCCTACAGGATAGTGATGACAAAAGTACGGGGCCACAAAGGCCAAGCCCCAACCTGTCCCAAACTACTAAAAACTGTAGTAGAAACCCTATTTCCCGCGCAACCGCCAGAAGAATATCGTTTAGAAGAAAACGGAACAACACAGTGAGGGAAGATACTAGAGCGAATAGTAAGCGTACGACTGGAGCAACATCTTGGAAAAGAGCAACCGGGACTGGCCGATAATCAATATGGATTTCGCAGACACAGGTCAACAATTGACGCGATTAAAAAACTTACGGACGTCGCAAGTAAAGCTATAGAAGGAACCAGATGGATGTATGACTCCACAAAGTATTGTGCGGTAGTCACATTCGATGTTAAGAATGCCTTTAATTCAGCCTACTGGCCGTATATAATAAGAGCTTTTCAACTGAAGAAACCATCACCCTATTTGCTGAAGATCATCTCCAACTACCTGTCGGACAGGGTCCTGCTATACGACATAGACAAAGGACCACAACGCTATAGGGTGACGGGCGTAGTTCCACAAGGCTCAGTCCTAGGCCCACTTCTGTGRAATATCTTATATGATGGAGTGCTGCGCCTCCCATTACCCAAGCAGGTGCAAATAATCGGATACGCGGATGACATCGCGGTGACTGTGGTAGCGAAGGAAATTCACGAAATAGAGCGTCTGTGCAATCATGCAGCGGAAAAAATCAAAGATTGGCTTATGGTAACAAAGCTTTAACTAGCTGGCCAAAAGACGGAAGCAGTACTAATCACAAGCAGGAAGAAACTAGAGGTCGCCACCCTCAACATTGACGGATATACCATTACCACACAGCAATCTCTGAGATATCTAGGAGTGATGATAGACTCGAGTTTAAGCTACAAGACGCATATAGACAAAGCCTGTGAAAAAGCATCAGGGGTGACAGCAGAGGATAATGGCTAACATTGGTGGACCAAGCCAGAATAGACGAGTCCTCTTGGCCAAAGTGAGCCAGTCTACACTTATGTATGCTGAACCCATATGGAGGATAGCACTGCAGCAATAAACACACGCAGAAAAGGTGATATCAATAGTACGACTGAATGCAATCAGAGTTGCATGTACCTATCGCACTGTATCACATCAGGCGGCCGGAGTCATATCAGGCCTCATGCCACCAGACATAATGGCCATGGAAATTAAGCGAGTATTCGACAAAACGAGAAGCACTGGCGATTGCTTAACGAATGAAGAGCGGAAGCAGGAAAGACAAAGGAGTCTAAACGAATGGCAGAAACAATGGGACGAAGTAACTACGGGGAGATGGACGCACGGGCTTAATAGAAGCATACCCAGTTTTTAACAGGTCATGAATGTTATAGAGAATATCTATACAAATACGGACATGACGACGAAACAAATTGCTCATTCTGCAACAACAGCAATGAAAATGCATTACATATCTTCTCTTTCTACCCAAAATATGAAAAAGAAAGACTAGAAATAGAGAGTATGATAAACGACCGCGTGACTCCGGAGAATATAGTACCTTACATGATCGAATCAAAGGTAGTCTGGAACGAAATGAGAGCGTGGGCAGCTATACCTATGCAAGAGCGAAGAAAGAAAGAATGGCAACGCAGCGAAAACGGAAGGTTTAATCGGAATTAGAGCGAAAAGTGTGAATGAAGAGCAGAATGGCTAAGCTTGGTCCCACGATGTAATGCCTAACGGCAGTTCCGTGGGCCAAATACAAACAAAGAGGACGGAGTTCAGGGTTTAGTACGTAGGCGTATTGCGTTGCAAGTCCTGCTTGGGCGTACGACCAATACGAATCGTGCATATCGTCCGGAAAAATTACGACATCTGAGGATTTTTAAACGTAGAACAGGCAGCAAAAATGTGCAGTATACTCTTGATTATGTTGATGTTGTATCTAAAACAGATGAGCCTGATGAGATAGAAATACAGCAGAGTATTGAGATAGTAACGGCAACGCCTGAAATGATTACTTCTCAACAAGAACTACCTAATCATTTAATTCCATTGCAGACATCTTTGATTTCGCCGACTGATGTAATGCAACCCAATGTGGAAGATGAACTAAAGGTTTCACGAAACCTTAACGAAATTACACGCAAAAYGAAAGACAACATCGCTAATATCGGACATTAACTGAAAGCAGAACAATTTGCCTGGTACTTCTTGTTTCCTAACGGAAAAAATGGGTACAAATAACAAAGGCCTGTAAATATTACAGCGTTAGACTACTTTCAGTTTAGAAGTTGGGGAAGTGATATAAGATTTCATTTTATGCCTTATCCTTCTTTGAATATTATATAATCAAAAGCACTATATATGCATGCGGAAAAAAAATTGTTAATCAAGAAGGAGCAATAGAAGATGTCCATATTTATGTAAAGATTATTGGAGATCAGCTCTAAATGAACTTTTAGCGCAAATCAGATGTTTAGGACCTCCAACATACTTTGTAACATTTAGCTCAAATGATCTCAACTGGCTAGAACAATGAAAGTCTTTGTTAGTAGCCGATGGTAGGGCTGATGTTGATCACAGTACTCTCGATATTTATGAGGCCCAAACATTTATCGAGACGTGTCCAGTAATTTTGAGTCAACATTTCATGTTAAGAGTAAATGCTCTAATGAAATTTATAAGAGATAATGATTATGGGTTTAGCGGAAAAGTAAAGGATTATTGGTGGCGCATTGAATTCCAGAATCGGGACAATCCTCACCTTCATATGGAGTTTTGGATCGAAAATCATCCCGACTTTGACTCAAARGAAGGGAACTTCTTCTGGATCGTAATTGTTGCTGTAGAATGCTTCCAGAAGAAGAAGACCCAGAGCTTCATGAATTAGTTAAAAAATGTCAAATTCATCGGCATACACAAACTTGTTCAAAAAATAATACTTCTATAAGATTCCGATTCATTTTTCCACGCCAAGAATGTGACGAGAAACGAATTGTGTCACATTCTTCAGATGAATTTCGAGGTAGAATTTGTTTACTAAAGCGTCGAAAGGAAGATTCTTGGCTAAATAATTACCACCCAGAGTTGCTAAGACTGTGGACAGCCAACATGGATATTCAGTCATGCAGAGCAAACGAAGCTATAGCGTACTATATAGCAAATTACTTATCGAAAGCAGAACCTGCAGGTATAGATTCTGGAATTCCGTACGCAATACGGCAAATTCAACGCGAAGAAACTGATATTTCACTGCAAACTGTTCATATGTATGAAGACCCTTCATGAACGACAAATATTAGCTGTAGAATGTGCATATAGACTTTGTCATATCCCATTATGGGACAGTTCTCGGAGCTGCATTTTTCTGAACACAAGAAAGGCAGTACAGCGTTACAGAGTATTGCAAAGAAACGGGCACGCAACTGGTTATTATAGCAATATATCTGAAAGATGTCAAAAAGTTCGTTACAATCTCCCGATTACGATTCTGCAAAAATTAGCCTTACAGAGCATGCAATGTTGTTTGAACCATTCTATGCGAAAAAAGTAAGCGGAACTGAGGAAAGTGTTGATTACGACGCTTATAAAGAATATCGAAACACACGTCATCCACTCGTTACACTATTAGATAAGAGAAAAATGGTTGTGAAGAAGGTTCCCGCAGTTGTTAGGGTGTCATATTTTATAGCAACATCAGATCTTCAATACATGCCTTATCGTTTGGAAACTGAATTACTTGAAGGTTTCGATAAAGCAAACGAGGCGTTTTTACATTGAGAGAAGCGTTTGAAGGAAATGAGTAGGTACATGCACCAATTTCGAGAGCGTGACCAACAGCTTGAAAATGCATTCAATCAGATACATGCATTTGAAATTTTAGAATAGCCAGAGATTATAAATCCTGAAGTTATAGAAGAAGAATTACCGGACACAGAAATAAGCAATGATCAACTTCAAAGAGCACAGCACGCTATGAATATTGATCAAAAACAATTGTTTACTGTTATTACAGGAATAATTAAAAAGCAACTTAATGGTGATATTCAACGAGAGAAAATTTTCGTCACAGGTGGAGCAGACACCGGAAAAACTTTTCTCGTTAATGTATTGAAAAACCAAGTTAACCGATGTTATGGAAAATTGGTCGTGAAAGTTGGTGCTCTTACTGGAGTTGC